TTATTTTTTTCGGCCTTTGAAGGTAAGGCACATAGGGTGGAACTGGAGTAATGACTACATTCTTTTGAGGAACCTGGAACCACACCTAGAAGTGCTTGAATGATGAGTCTTGGTTCTATCCTATAAGGTACTGTAGGAATGGTGTCAGAGAGTGCCACAAATGCTGTAACATCATCCAAAAGTGTTTTGTCCTCGTCAAAGTCATCAAGTGCTGGAAGGGTCATTTTTAGTTCTGTTTTTGATTTTTTCCTACAGGGTGTTATAGGACTAGTGTGGACAGATACTCTAGAACTACCATCAGATTGTGGCACATCTATAAAAAAAATTGATTTGGGCTTCTGGATTTCCTGGGGTTCATTAGGGAATAGTAATGGAAAGTTTGGTTTTTTCTAATGGTTGCAATATCAATGGGCTTAACTATTATTTCAGGCCTAATGGTACTACAAAACTGTTTCACATGTATTGCAGTAGCAGAAGTTGGTGTTGTAGTATTTTTTCTAGGCTCTGCCCTAGTTGGTTTTTTTGGTTCCTTTTAGATGTTTCTCTTAAGTTATTTACACTCCTCAAGGTTACAACCTTAACATGCTCTTTCCTAACCCTATAAGGGGTCTCTATGTCACTAGGTAAATATCTTACATATCTTTGTCTTATCTCCAAAGCCATTTGTTCAAACTTGTGTTTCAAGGTTTCTGATTGAAGCCTGAATTTTGGGTTATGAACCCTTTCATCATTGCTTCCAAGGAAGTAGATGATTCAGTAGGCTGAATTGACTGGTTTTGGAAAGAGGGTCGATGATTTTGTAGTTGAAAACTTGTTTGTTTGTTGAAAATTGGTTGGGTAGGGTGTTGTTGGCAAAAATTCTGATGGTGGTTGTAAGAACCACTTTGATATTGATGTTGAAGACCTATGGATTCATTCAAGGTTGGAGATTTATGTTGCCACCCTACATTATAAGCTTGAGAATCAGTACAATCTCTGCCTTGGTTTCCAAAAAAATAATTGATTCTAGGTCAGAAGCACATTGATCAAATGGATGACATCCTCCACATAACACACATGCTATATGATTGACAGTAGGATACGATATAACAACAACAATATGCACATCTGGGCTAACATTCATATTTTTAATCATGTTAGTCAAAGATGGGAGTTGTGTTGTAGTTGCTCTATATGCATTTGTTTCTTGTACCCCAATTGTTTGATTTTGTATTAATGCATGTGGATCAGTTCAATATCCATTATTATTTGAAATTTTCTCAAGTATGTCACGTCATTATAAGTACAAGTTGTGAAAAGCTCCTCCTATAGTAGCATCAAGCATTTGTTTAGCAACGGTTGTTAAACCATTGTATGTCTCTAGTTGAATACAATAAGAAATGTCATGGTAAGAGCATTTTCTCAACAACTCTTTGTACCTTTCTCATGCATCAGGTGTTGCTTTAATATCCATTTGTCTAACCAAGCATATTTCATTTTTGGACTCAACATTTCTGTTGGTAGGAAAATATATTTTTTTAAATTTCTCTACAAGGTCATTCCTAGAGATAATGAAATTTGCTTGTAATGAGTTAAACCATAAATTCGTTGCCTCAAAGATGTGAGCTCAAAGTGAGTTGCCTCAATGTGTGGCATTAGTTTTCCTGATTTTAATCGACTAAAAACAGGAATAACATAGTCCATGATTCTTTTATCCCGATAATCAACAAGGCGTCTGATGTTCTCCATATAGTAACAGGTGGTAGAAAAGTTAGTTTTTATAAACGTTACTTTAAAGAAAACTTTTGGTGCTTCTTCCCTGGTAGCGGTGCCAAAATTTGTTGTGTGGTTTATGCAACCTCAAAGATTCATGGAAATAGACCTCAGTAAAAGTATACGCCTTGGTCTATTATCGTCTCAGTAACAAGTAATAACGATAAAAGTATTGAATATCGATCCTTAGGAAAGGCTTGTAAAAGTTTCTCAAATGTCCAATCTTTAGAAACCAATTCAGATGGCAAAATCGAAGAATTTGATTGGTATGTGTTAGTTATCAACTAGAAAAACTAGGCGTAAAGAAGAAGCAAATGGTAAAAAAGTTTGTTAAGACAAAAACAGATGATACAGTAAAAGGATGATATAACACTAATAGACAATCCTATAGTACCACAAAATGGTGTTATAGTATTGTCAAAAGTATCAACTATTGGGTCAGACGGCCTCCCAAGAGTATACACATATCCACTGCTATCAATATCACATCATTTATGTTAAATTTCGTGAATCTTAGTACAACACAATGTTACTATCCTACATCGTAGGAGTATATCACTTGTTAGGTACTAAAGCTATTTATAGCCTTCTCATATCACCTTAAGTTTTCCTATTTTTCTTAACTCTGAAATTGATGCATTTTCATACATAAAATTAGTTGTCAATTAATTAAATGTAATTTTCAATGAAACAATAATCACCTGAAATAAATAGTTAGATAACAATGCTCCATATAAGACACCTTTATACTTTCATGTCAGTTTCGGTCTGAACTTTCCCTTACACACCAAGCTAAGACAATTAGTCCATTATCAATCGGATTCTTCTTACGAAAGATGCAATGACTAAAAAGCAAATAACGGAAATAGAAAATACATAGAAATAAATTGCAAAAATTAAAGACGAGATGTGAAACTTAGAGCCTAAGTTAATAACTACTACGGTAATGAAAAAGACTGAAAGTAAATAGCAAAAAGTAAATGACAATAAAATAAATTGCAAAAAGTAACTATAAAGGAAATTGTAGAAATGAAAGTGCGGTAATGCAAATGACAACAAAATAATGTTGGAAATGTAAAAGTCAAAGCGGTAAAAGAAAATAAAGAAATCAAGAACAATGATGTAGGGTGTTATAGTACTCGGTAACTGACACGAAAAGTTTCGTATCAAAATGTAAATACTTGCTTTAAAAACTTAGAAAACAAAAGTTTTCAACTACTGGACACTAGTCTCGAGCCACAAAAAGATTGAAAATCTAATGTATTGCCACGAGTGTAATATTAGCTCCAAAAGTAAAACCGAAAATAAGAACAAGTTGAAGAAATGATTTCAAAGCAACAAAACTTGGAATAATACTTGGAACTAAGGGGCTGTTTGGTTCATGGATTTAGATGGAATTGAAAGGAATTGGAATGACCAAATCCTTTGACCAAATTCCAAATACAATGTTTGGTTCATAGAATAAAACTGATGGAATCCTTTCAATTCCAATACATTCATTCACTCACGGATTTTACATTTCACGGCAATACCCTCGGATTTCAATTTCTTTCCGACAAATTCCTTTCCTAATCCAAATTCATTCAACGTTTCGTCTACCATCTCCTCTAATTGATCTCTGGTTCGATCTCCATTGGGTACGCTCTCGCTCTCTGTCTCTGTCTCTCTCTCTCTCGTAATTTCTCCATCTATACGAGATCGATAGACAATATATGTAAGCAAGGAATCAATTCAAGATAACTAGCAATCGATATCACTAGTCCAATTCTGTTATTCAAAAATCATAAAAGGTCATTTGTTGATATTTAATTCCGATTCCAAAGTTGAATTCCGTGAACCAAATAAAAAAAATTCCAATCCGTTAAGAATTTCATTCCAATTCCATGCAACCAAACGCAATCACAAGGCATGGTCAAATTCCATCAAATTCCATTCCATTCTCTCAAAGTCAAATTCATTTGATGAATTCCAATTCCATCAAATTTCATTCTACGAACCAAATGCCCCCTAAGAACATTTGAAAGTGTTTAACACAAGAGCTAATAACTAAAAAGTAAGTAAAAAAAATAGAGAAATTAACCCAATTTTTTTTAACAAAGGGGAACACTTCTTTATATAGTAAAATGCTACCTTAGGCTCCAAGTTAGCCCATAAGTAAAAGGGATGATGTTCCATGATGTAAGCCATTTTCTCCTGCAAAATATGCAAATTCAGCCCAACAAAAGTGAAACTTGGAGCCTAAAGTTGCTACTCCAAAACCGCTACAACACCATAACTTCAACAACATTAGTCTTGCAAGAATGCTATCTAATCAGCGTAAATTTATCAAAAATCTTATTTAAATCCCAATTAGCATAAAAATCCAATAAAATATCCAAATTCTATTTCTATCGCCATAAACAATAAAAGTATAAAATAATATAATAAAAGACTCAAATATTGCATTTTGGACAAATAAAAGTAAGGAGAAAAGATAGAGAAAATTGTGCAACAAGTTCATAAATAGACACTCATCAGTGGTGCAAGAAGACCAAAGATGAGAACACAATATGAGGGATGAAAGATCTAGGGATCTAACCGAATATGGGGTTTGTAGCTGGAAAAATAACTAGAAGAAAGGGGGGAGGGCCACCGGTTCGTCAAAAATGTGGGGAGAGAAGTTGCTGCTATTCATCGATGACGGGCACCATATAATGAATAAAAACCAAAGGAAGGAACGATCTAGTATATAAAATATAAAATGTAACAATCTTTCATAGAAAACTAAAAAAGGTACAATGACCAAATTGTCCCTAACTTAACGGAAATAGTTGAAAGGACGAAAATAGAAACGAATTATAAACCACATGAACAATAAAGTCGATAACCGTTATTTCAAAAGCTCAAGGACTAAAATAGTAATTTTCAACAAAGTATGGGAATGAAATGTTCAGTGGGTGTTTGAGATTGCTTATAAAAACAACTTATTGATTTATTCCGGTGTATAATCGGTGATAAGTATTTTTGAGTGTTTGGATAAACAACTTATACCGATGTCAAACCGGTAATAAGGAGTTTTTGAAAAAGTTAAAACTCTTCTAACTTATGATAAATTGATAAATACTTTTGTAAAAAAAACATAACTCCTTTCAAATAAGTAATCCCAAACACCCCACTTACTCTATTTTTTTTGTCAACACGATTACAATTTACAACACAGCCTAAACTCTTCTTGATTATTTGAGCCAGCTTTTCGCCCCCTCCTTCCTTCTCCCCTCTCATTATAACAAATCATCACCCCACAAAACCCTAAACACAAGAAACACATTAAACCTTACAATTTACAGTAGAAGCTCTAATGGCGGAATCCAAAACAGATGTGTCGTTGAAGGATCAAGGAAATGAGTTTTTCAAGGCTGGAAATTACCTAAAAGCAGCTGCCATATACACTCAGGCCATCAAGAAAGATCCTTCTAACCCTACCCTTTACAGGTAATACTATGTATATTTATGCGCTCTTCTGCTACATTTTCACACGGTGATATCAGCCATAGTAATTCACAGTTACAATTTGGTGTGTTCTCTCTATTGTTATGGAGTTGCTCTTCTTTCTCGGAAAAAATTGAAATTGTAGTTTTGTTATTATTGAGCTACAAAATGATGTTGGTGATTTCAGTATCATCAAGCATTTTACTGTAGTTGTTGTTTACATAAGATCGACTGGGTTTATTGGTTAAGCTATATTATAACAAATGACCTGTCTGAGTTCAAAATCAATGTGGAACTCGTATTCTGAGACAACACAACACGTTATATTTGAATCTTTCAATCATATTTACATATAAAATCCAAAATCTCTATAGTTTGTAGTTGAAATTGGTATGTGATAAAAACATGAATTCTCGCCATAGGGTTTTACTCGTAATATGATCTTGAATAAATTATTTTTCTTTTTCATTTCTGTTGCTCGTTTTCTTCTTGATAGATGGTAAAAAAAGATGGGTTTTTTTTCTTCAGGATTACATAGTGAAGTTATTTTGTTAATACTTGTATCGAGGGAGGGGGAGTGGAGAGGGCCACCTAAGGAGGTTGAATTGTTATCTAGTTAATTTGTCAGTCTTAACACTTTTGAGTCCCTGTTGATGCGATTGTTGTTGTGGTTGCTGGTATTTATGGTGCAAGGACAATGATGGTACACATGAAGGAAGTCAAAGAGGAACTTCAGCATTGTGTCAATGTTAAATATTGAGAGATCGCTACCTAAACAAAATTGCAAGATATTTTCAAATATTTTCAAAGTTTATGGTGAAAGGGTGCCATCTCTTAAGCCGAGGAAACTAAGGTGGCGTTTGTTTTTTAAGAGTTGTTGAAGTCTGAAGTCTTATTTCACTTCTGATTTATAAGAGGTGGTGCCGAAATCTGAAATTTGAATCAATAAGATTGTTTGTTAACTGATAGACGTCTGGATTTGTTTAAATTGTCTATTTTACCCATTAAAAATTATATTGTTGAATTTATAGATAAATTTATACAATTTCACATATTTATTCATCATCATTATGAAATTTACATCTAATTATATAATTAACATTCATTTAAACGAAAATATGTCCATTAACGGTATTTAACACATTTAAATTCTATTCAAATATATCAATTGAGAGAGGTGAGGATTGTTTTGGTAAGGATCGATGGATAGAAATGATAGATTAAGGTTAATCGATTTAGAAACGCCGTTGTTGAGGGTTTGAAGAACAATAAGAGGCAAATAAGAGGCTGGTTTATGATACGAATTGGGAATTAATTAAAAATGATGCAACCAAGCCTAGAATATTGCATGTGTATTCTAGAAGGGGTAAAACGGGAAATGAGAAAAGTGGCTGAGGTTTGTTAGAGGAGAGAAGAATAAATAGTGGAGGGTGATCTTGTAGTGGGTATTTTGTTTTCTTTCATAATTGTTTAGGCTCCAATTTGCTGATTGTGAGAAAGGGTTTTCCCTGAGTTTTATTCCTTTGTAATCTGTCCGATTCAAGTTCAATGAATTCACCATCTTCTTCTTTCCATTTCTGTATTCTTACTTGTTTTGCATAGAATTGTTATCGTTACCCATCATTGGTCCGACCTGCCCTTGATCTGCCCTTGACTGCCATTTTCTTTTGTTTTCCGTTTGATTATCGATGGAAACWCGTTCTGTTCAACATCGACTGGAGCAACATGAGGAGCTCATTCATCAAATTCAAGCGGATGTTACCGATATCAAAACCACTCTGCAGACATTGGAGGTGGATAGGGCTGAATCCAGCGAATTTCGTAAGATCATGTTGGGATGGATGAAACAACAAGGAAAACACCTGTTTCCGGATTCAGGGAGTGGTTCAAGATTAGGCGATCAATTTTCGGGTCCTTTCTTCGATGTTCACAACAGCGGCGGAGGACCTGGTGGTGGTGGTGGCTATAATCTTCACATAGTTGCTGATGGTTTACCTTGGGTAGTGAAGAAAGTCAAATTACCGGAGTTTTCTGGTTTTGATCCTCAGGGATGGATTCAGAAAGCTAATCTGTATTTTGACATCAACAGTACCCCAGCCCAYCTCAGACTACGTTTGGCACAATTAAGTATGATGGGGGTGGCTCAACATTGGTTCACCATCGTCATGCAGGTTCATGAGGCACTTACTTGGGAGCAATTTCAAACTGAGTTGCTGCAACTATTTAGTGGCTTGGAGATCCAAAATCCTTATGAACAACTTGCTACCATTAAGCAATCCTCCTCCATCCATGATTATATCGACGATTTTGAATACCTTCTATCGTTGGTTCCTCGATTACCGGAAGCGCAGGCGTTGGGATATTTTGTGGCAGGGTACGAGATGAGGTCAAAAAATGGGTTCGATTACACCGTCCTCTGTCACGTTTAGATGCGATATACTTAGCAAAGGATGTCGAAGAGATGCTACGTCCGTCATCAGGTAACCTGTCATACTCCCGTTTTCGTTATCATCAGGGTTCTGGTTTTAGTCCAGTGGGTCAAGGGGATGTTCGCCCTTCTACATTGGGCCGCCTAGATGGGATAGGCCCATTTACTCCTAAGTCCATGGACCGTTCATTGAATGCTAAATCCTCTCACAATTCTCGTCCGTATGGGTATCCGACTTCCGACAATTCTTCTGGTAATCAAAAGGATCGGGGGTATCGTTCTCTTACTCGAACGGAATAGGAAGAACGCCGCAAAAAAGGGTTATGTTTTCGATGTGGACAACAATTTGGACCGGCTCATAAGTGTCCCGAAGGGAAGCTACGAGTATTATTGTTGGGCGATGATGAAGATGATTTGTTTACGGGGGACCTCTGTTATGTAGAGACTTCCGACGAACAAACCATTACAGGAGACGAGCAGATTCCGTCGGGAATGTGTGCTGCCTTGGAGTATTTTGGGGTTTCCACTGAGGTGATACCAGGGGGAAAGATGATGAAGTTTGAAGTGGCAATTCGAGATATTCCGGTTACCATCCTAGTCGACAGTGGTGCAACTCACAATTTCATTTCTCAACATTTGGTAACATCCTTAGCTCTACCTTTTAATTGTTGTTCAGGAATTAGTATCAAATTGGGGGATAGCCATAAAATACTTGTTGATGAACAATGTCTTAATCTCCAAGTATTGGTGGGAAATCATGAATTCACGATGGATGTGTTGATTTTTGATGCTGGAGAACTGGATTTGGTGTTGGGTATGGCTTGGCTTAGAACATTAGGAGAAGTAGTCCACAATTGGGAGAAGGCTTGGATGAAATTCAATTTTCATGGGTTCCAGTTTTTATTCAAGGAATGCGTGTAACTCAGGGGTCCTTTGATTCTCTACAACAATGGTTGGTTAATTCCGAAGGATCAATAACTGCCATTTCTTCCCTACCGGAAAATGATGTGGGTTTTGGAAATGATTCAACCACAATGCAAGGAAAAGCCTTACAATTGCTTTTAAGTCAATTTCCAAAGGCTTTTCAGACACCCTCTGGCCTTCCTCCAGCAAGAACTCACGATCATGTTATTACTCTTACTCCTCATAACCCAATCTGTGTTCGTCCCTATCGGTATCCTCATGTGCAAAAAACTGAGATTGAACGACAGGTGCAGGAACTCCTTTCTCTGGGTATGATACGGTCCAGTAAAAGCGCATTTTCGAGCCCTGTTATTTTAGTACGGAAGAAAGATCAAACGTGGAGGATGTGCGTGGATTATAGAGCTCTTAACAAGGCTATGGTGGCGGATAAATTTCCGATTCCTATGGTTAAAGAACTCATTGACGAATTACACGGGCTCAATTTTTTTCTAAACTCGATCTGAAATCGGGATATCATCAAATCCGTATGCACCCGGATAGTGTTGAGAAGACAGCATTCCGTACTCATGACGGTCATTACGAATACCTCGTAATGCCTTTTGGACTCRCGAATGCGCCGGCTACTTTTCAAGCCATAATGAACGACATTTTTCGTACTTGGTTACGTAAAATGGTGGTGGTTTTCTTTGATGACATCCTAATCTATAGCTCTTCATGGGATCAACATCTGATTGACTTAGAGATGGTGTTACGAATCCTGGAACAAAATCARCRGGTTGTCAATAGAAAAAAATGTTTTTTTGGTCAAAGGTCGGTAGARTATTTGGGACACATTATCAATGGCKAGGGAGTTGCAATGGATCCTAAAAAAATTGAAGCGGTGTTGGCTTGGCCGATACCTAAGCAAATTAAAGGATTGCGTGGATTTTTGGGCCTTACCGGGTATTACAGAAAGTTCATCCGTAACTATGGCAGTATCGCCAAACCTCTAACAGAGCTGACCAAGAAGGATGCTTTTACGTGGCATGAGGGAGCACAAGAAGCTTTTGATCGATTAAAAAGAAGCTATGGTCAAGGCTCCTTTGTTGGCTCTTCCCGACTTCCAACATTCCTTTCGTGGTTGAGTGTGATGCTTCCGGCCAGGGTATTGGAGCAGTGTTAATGCAACAGCAGAAACCTATCGCTTATTTCAGCAAAGCGTTAAGCGATCGAAACTTGGCTAAATCAGCTTATGAGCGAGAAATTATGGCATTGGTTTTAGCCGTCCAACATTGGCGTTCCTATCTTTTAGGGACCTCGTTTGTGGTTTATACCGACCAGAAAAGTTTGAAATTCTTATTACAACAACACATCACTAGCCCGGATCAACAGAATTGGGTGGCGAAATTGTTGGGTTACAACTTTGAAATTTGTTACAAATCGGGTAGGGAAAACCGAGCAACTGATGCGTTGTCTCGTAGGGCTGAAGAGGGTGGGTTATTGACAATTCTCTCAACACCGCTGTGGCTGAAAGAGGCTGAGTTAATGGCAGAACATAAAGCAGACTCAGAAATACGAAATTTGAGGCGTGACTGTGAAGCTCAACCAGATACTCAGCTGGGGTATTCGGTTAGTAAAGGAATACTTTATTACAAAGGACGATTAGTAATTCCAAAGAACTCTAAATTTATTCCCAGTTTGCTCAAGGAGTTTCATCAATCCGCTTCGGGAGGCCACTCCGGCTATTACCGTACTTATCAACGAATTGCAGGAAATTTATATTGGCCAGGCATGATTGAATGAGTTAAGCAATATGTACGGGCTTGTGATGTTTGTCAATGGTGTAAGGCCAGTTCAGTTGCCCCGGGGGGACTGTTGCAGCCTTTAAACATACCTGATGCAATTTAGGAACATTTGTCTATGGATTTCATTCTGGGACTTCCTAAGTCTAGAGGGTTTGATGCTTTATTAGTGGTGGTAGACAGGTTGTCTAAGTATAGCCACTTCATATTACTTAAAACACCCTTATACCGCCAAATCCGTGGCTGAAGTTTTTGTTAAAGAAGTAATTCGTCACCATGGAATTCCCAAATCGATAGTGAACGATCGGGACCCTTTGTTTCTGAGTCAACTTTGGCAAGAGATTTTCCGATCCCAGGGTACTGAGTTACACATGAGTTCTGCATATCACCCGGAGTCCGATGGTCAGACCGAAGTAATCAACTGCTGTTTGGAAACGTACCTGAGGTGTTTTGCAGTTGATCAACCTCGTAATTGGTCTTTGTGGATTCTTGGGCTGAATTTTGGTATAATTCCACTTCTCATGGATCAACTGGGAAATCTCCATTCGAGGTGGTTTATGGTCGAAAACCACCAACAATCACCCAGTTCATACCGGGGGAAATACGAGTCCAACAGGTGCTTGAAGAATTAAAAGATCGTGATGAAGCTTTGAGACACCTTCGAGTTCATTTGTCACACGCTCAAGAAGTTATGAAGCGGAGTGCAGACAAGAAGAGACGGGAGGTACACTTTGCTGTTGGAGAATGGGTATACGTCAAACTGAAACCATATTGACAACTTTCAGTGGCTAGCCGCATTCATCAGAAGTTGGCGGCACGTTTTTTTGGACCATTTATGATCACAGCGAAGATAGGACCGGTGGCATACAAGTTAGATCTTCCTCCAACTTCGAAGGTACATCCGGTTTTTCACGTCTCGTTGCTAAAGAAAGCTGTTCATGGACCCACAGATACAGTTTTACCTCCAGAACTAGATTTACATGCCAATGAAATAATTACCCCAGTGACTGTGCTAGCCACTCGTACAAGCAGAGTTCATAACAGAGATGTTGAGCAATGGTTGATTCAATGGAAAGGGAAGTCGATGGAAGAAGCAACATGGGAAGATGCTTTGATGATTAAAAGTCAATTTCCTGAAACAAGTCTTGAGGACAAGAATTTTTCGGAAGGGGGAAGTAGTGATACGAATTGGGAATTAATTAAAAATGATGCAACTAAGCCTAGAATATTGCATGTGTATTCTAGAAGGGGTAAAACGGGAAATGAGAAAAGTGGCTGAGGTTTGTTAGAGGAGAGAGAAGAATAAATAGTGGAGGGTGATCTTGTAGTGGGTATTCTGTTTTCTTTCATAATTGTTTAGGCTCCAATCTGCTGATTGTGAGAGAGGGTTTTCCCTGAGTTTTATTCCTTTGTAATCTGTTCGATTCAAGTTCAATGAATTCACCATCTTCTTCCTTCCATTTATGTATTCTTACTTGTTTTGCATAGATTTGTTATCGTTACCCATCAGTTTACCTTTTACCAGATAAGAGGGACAATACGACATAAGTGCCTATGAAAAATTGGAAAAAACAAACAATTTGAATGACCCTACCTCTTAACGAATTAGAGATAAGAGGCTGATAAGAATTTTTTTGTAAAAAACAAACAAGGCCTAAATCTTTGTGAAACAGTGCTAGAAAAGTAGATTGTTAAAGTATACCAAGAGATTTTTGATATTATCTTATTGCAGAAAAAATGAGCTACATTGTGACTTCTACAACCAAAATATGTTTTTTGTATGCATTAAGCAATTGCTCAAACTGTGTAACTGTGAATTTATATGCGTTCACCATTCATCACAATTCACATGGAGTAAAATTGGGGTAAAATGAGTGCTAAATAAGCTCCAATTAAGATTCCAACATAACAAATTATACCTAGGGGTGCACAAAAACCCGACTAACCTGACCAACCCGGCCAATCCAACCTGACCCAACCTGAATCGACTTGATACTCAATCGAGTTGTAAAATCTTCAAACTGTAGTTATTGGGTTGGAAATATGAACCTAGTGGGTAGACGTTAAACATACTAATTAACCTATGTGAAGCAGAATGCCATTTCACCCATAGCCGAGGGTATGTTTTTTTTCCCTTTTAAATCTATATATCTGGGTGTCTATATTCATTGGGGCTTAGAAATATGGACTTAGTGGGTAGACGTTAAACATGCTAATCAATTCACCCATCTGGAAAATGAGAATGTTCATTGCCTTTATAATAGTGGTATATGTGTTGTGGTGTCTTATAGTATTATTCATTCAATAGCCTTGGGTTTATCTTGATGAGGGTGCCAAGTCACTTTGTCAAATCTCTTTATTCTACTTTCCAGCAATCGTGCTGCTGCGTTTCTGAATCTTGTTAAGCTACAAAAAGCACTCAGTGATGCTGAAACAACAATAACTTTGAATCCCAGCTGGGAGAAGGTACTAGAATGGTCCAGAATTTTGATGTTCATATATGGGTGATAGTTTGTTTCCAATGTCTTTGTGAATAAAGTGCCATTGTATATCTGCAGGGTTACTTCAGGAAAGGATGTGTATTAGAGGCCATGGAGCGATATGATGATGTATACTTATGGTTTTCTCCGGTGTTTTTGTTATCTCTATTGTCTTAAATATGAAGCCCATATTTGATACTGTTATGTATAATGTAGGCATTGGATGCCTTTAGAATAGCCTCACAGCACAATCCACAGAGTACGGAGGTGGCAAGAAAGATCAAGAGGCTTACACAATTGTCGAGAGATAAAAAGCGATCAATAGAAGTCGATAATATGAGATCTAACGTTGATCTGGCAAAGCACTTGGATGGTTTCAAGTCTGAATTGGTAATTTTATTTCGTATGATATTCAATACTCCTTTAATACATCCAGGCTTGTTTGGTGACTATAACATTTTTTTTCATTTTCTGTTTAGATACTTTTGTAATCTAAATGGAGCTTATGATTTATATGTGGTAATGAAACTAAAACGTTTCCTTTTAACTATTACGTTCTTTTCCTAGCTGGTAACCCACGATTTTGGAGTCATTTAATTTGTTTCTTTCTTTGAAAATTAAATCATCTTTTATATTCTATTAAGCGTCGACACAGCTTTTTTATTGACGACCACGTCGCCCATCTCTGCAGCCCTTGCAAGAATAAGCACGCACATATTGCACCACCCTTCACCGCTCTCGTATTACCACCCTGACCTAAAGCAATTAAAATCTGTCTTCACCGAATATGCAGCACCACTATTGACTATTTGATGCTGTACACTGTAACAAATCTCCTAGTCCTGTAGTTATTTTGTGGTGATTTTGATCAAATTCAACCTTTAATCATTAAAGTTGACTTTGGTATCTGCATTCCGTACAAGCCTAATGATCCATTGGGAGTGCAGGTGGGTGTTTTGACTTTTGGTTGTTAAAGTTTAATGGCCTCAATCTCAAGCTTGTAAGTGGTGACGGAAAATCTGTAGATCTAAAATTTTGAAACCCCCTAACCAATCTTTCCTAAGGTGGATGCAATTGCATGTCCACGGTCGACTATTAAATATTAATTATTATAGGGGTTTATTAATCTGGATGATTTTAAATGTAATTTTCTTACATATCCTCGAGAAGGAAATAAAGGCTTCGTGATGTTGTGTTGCTGGTGGGGCTCTTGTGGTGGGACAGGAGATGGAAGGGGCAGAGAGGGAGACAAGATGAGTGTTGATGGTTACAACTTTTAACTTTGAAATGTAGCTGGCAAAAACAAGTTTACAAGCCTACAACCATGACGATGTCTAAATCAAGTTTACAAACTTGTATCCAATGTCCAAGCTCTTTTTGTAAATTGGTTTCAGTTTTCAGAAAATCTTATCAGTTGCTAAATGCCATGTTTTTTCGTTATGTTTTTCTATATATGTGAATATACGTAAGCATCAGCAACATTTACCTTAAGTTTATGTTTTTACAATTAAACAGTCTTACATTGTGGTTGTTTATCTTGTTTTAATTAATACTGGTATTTCTTTCAGATACAAAAGCATGTAAGCGAGGAATCTTGGAAAGATACCTTCTCTTTTGTTGTTGAAACAATGGAGACTGCTGTAAAATCATGGCATCAGACATCTAATGTGGATGCTAGAGTTTATTTCCTGCTTGATAAGGAAAAGACAGACACCGAGAAATATGCACCTGTTGTCAACATTGACAAGGTATAGAATTTCTACCGCTGCTTATCTTATTGTCCGATTTTCCTTGTATATTCTTCAGATCTCATCTCTCCCTTTCTTCTCTCTCTCTCTGAAAAATGTATTTCACATGTTCATTTATCAATTAAATGTTTCTAATAGTTTCATTATTTTTTGTACTTAACTTATTCTTTGTATTTGGTAATGAGTCATAACGTATATCTCTTTGCTAAGTTTGCTGGCACTGCTTGTCGTTTGGGTCCTTCTATTTGGTACTTATAACTTTGCATCACTAGTGGGTGCTTTAACTAAAAAGGTATATTTTTTTATTCATGCTGTGGTGGTATATGATAACACATGGTTGACACTTAATATGGTGATGTATGGAGTATCTATTGATACCAATATCTATCTTGCTACTGATAATCTAAAAGATGTGCCAACCTTAAGCTACGTCTGAGCTCCCTGTTCAGGACTCTCAACTACTTATTCAGTCTGAACTCCATTCCTGATGCTGATGTTTTTCATTAAACAGGCATTCGAGTCACCCCATACACATGGTGATTGTGTTACCTTTTTAAGGCAATATGCTGTGGAATCTTTCTCTCGGGCAGCATGCTTAGTCGCACCAAAGAGTATCATATCGTACCCACAGGTAGCATGGATATCTCTCTTATCATGTTTCTTTGTATATTAGTGATTGATGATATCTTGGGTCTTATATACATCGTCTGAATACTGATGCATGAAGGACATTGAAAGGCCTAGGGAGCCACATGATGGGAATCTTTTGAAGATATCCTCTGGAAACTTATTTTTGCAGTAGTAAGAAACCTTGTATCTTTATTGCGGTAGAATTGTATCTAATTAATCCATCAAGGATAATTGGTGATTTGGGATAGCCTTTTCTGTTGTCTCCCTCATAATTACCCTTCTCCGCTTTGTCCTGCATCACTAGTTCTGTTGCCAATATAGAAAATGCGGATGAATCACTATCGGGCATAACACAGATGTCTAGTGCAATGGGGATCCATTTGTGTAGGAGGTTGAGTTGAATCCTCTTGCATCATTATGGGAACTATGTATAGGGAAAAACCCATCTACAAGGGACCCCTTTTCATAGTAGTTAGATCGTGGCACGAACATGGTGTCAACCCAAAAATGAGCCAAATGATGCACAATGTGGTGTGTTCCATTTCCTAAAATTAGGAAGAAGGAAAACTTTTAAATGATAACATTGAAAATAGATCATTGTTAAGCACAATAAGCAACAAATTGTTGACTAAATTATAGAAGTGCTTAATATTTCAAAATAGACCCACTGTAAAACAGTGATCAATATTCAGTTTGTCAAATTCAGAAATGCATCCATTCTTTTGGCATAAAAAATAATAGATTACAGAATTTTGTTTCAATGTACATCAAATTTTTGCTTAGATATCAGGATAGTAACATAACAATGAAATAGTCAGTACACCAATGTAATGATGGCAACACCTATATATTAGACTGAACAATCAAAGAATTTACCTGTATGGATATGTTCAGGCTCTTGGCATAAATAAATCATCATAATTGGGGAGAGTTGACCACCAAGAGGGGCCAAGAGGCTGAGGTAGAGGGGGAGAGGATGAAGGCAAGTTCTACAAGTGCTTACTAGCCCTTCAGCGAGTCTCATTGATTTTTTCTTCTTTGATTTTATTTTTGTAAATTGTTTGTAAAAGCAGTTGACTTTTAACAATCAAGAGATCAAATCATCATGTATATTGATAAACTCTCTCAATACATGTTTCTCTCTCTACAATCTCTCTCTCTAAGCTAGACTCTCTACGTACGTATCTTTTTAACAATTACCATTACAAAGCTATTTATATGATTGACTAAACATACAAGTCAAACTACAATTAAGCACAAACTATAACATTGACTTTTAACAATCTTTAACAACTTTGACTTTCTTTGATCATGTTGACTTTCATCTTTGACTCCTTAAATCTTCAATGCTCAGTGATCTCAGATACAATAATATTTGACTTAACAATCTTTCCCTTTGTATTCGAGATCACATTCTTCAAAACAAATCCCTTTGTCTTCACTTCGAAAGATCTTTGACATAAACAATCTCCCTCAATTACAATCATACTTTATCAACCTTCAAATAAGATGAATCTGGAAAATAACAATCTTCCGTATTAACAAATATATCCTTTAGATCAAAATCTTCACTTTGAAACAATTTTTAAAATCATTTAGAAACTTTCCCTTTTGAGGTCTTAAACAGTCAACAAATCTTCAAGGAAACCTTTTGAATCAACAAATAAGCTTTAGACATTCAGGCTTGAAGCTTTGACACTACATGTACTAAGCTTGTCACCTTTATATCATGAAAAAATCCAACCTTAACAAACAAACTCTTCAAATTTTTGTCTTGTAAGCCTACAGATGTCAACAAGTCATAACAAATTCTTCAAATCAGCACCAACCTTTTCATCAACATCTACAATCTACAATCTTATGGCTTTTCAATCTTAAATCTTTGATAATCTTTTGTCTTCTCTTCTTTGATGTCTTTGATACTATTTCTCCCTCTCATGATGATTAGGAGAATCCTGAACATCATGAACACTCAAAGACCGAAATTTCTCCGCTATTGAATAATACAAAACATTAAACAAAAATTTCTTCAGATAATACTCCCCATGTACAAATGAATCAGATTATTTTTTCAAGCAACTTCAGTTAATCTCCTCCTTTACACAAAACAAAATTCTCTTCTTCAGACAATTAAAATTTCCATCACATCTCTCCTCTTGAAAATTAGGTAACCATTTAACACAGAAGCACGTTTAGCAGCTGTCATCACAACAATTAAATCAATTGTTTGGCCTATTTTCAGAGTTCCCAATTATAAATCTCTGATAGGACTTCTAGTTGTCATAGAAGTAAAGTTATTGAACTAACTTCTCAAAGTATTCTGGCATAAACACAAAGATATGCGATGTGAATTACAAAGACTCGTGAATGTGTCAAGAAAATATCATTCAAATATATTTGGCTCAACGCTCATTAGACTCAATGTGCATAGAATATGAAGTTCGAAGACCATGTGTGTTTTCTTGTTTCAATATCTAAAACTTCCGAATGAAGAATAGATAGATTATATGTTAATTCTCAATGATATATGAAACAAGCACCTTTTGAAGATCGTTTATAATTCAAAAACATTATCAGAAGGTTTGAAACCTATTTTGGTCTTAGAAAGAAAAGAAGAAGATTTGTGTGAATATTGCAACTTGATTACAAAGGGGGAGAATGTTGGGGCTTATTTTGTAATTATAGTCAAGTTGTAGGGGCTTATATTGTAAATACCCCTGTGGTATAAATATTTTGTGTTAGTTTATTTTGTAACCAAGCTCTTTCATTGTAATACGTATCTTGGTTTAAAAATGCGCGCATAATGCGCTGTGATGCGTGATGCGCTATGATGCGCTGAAGAAAACGCATCATAGGGTCTGATGCGTTGCGATTCCAAGATGCGCTTGCATCACCTACGCATCACACGATGCGTGCATCACTTATGCATCAACGCATCATGTATGTTGCATTTTTAGGCTCCCTTTTTCAGTTTTTAGTTGGGCTTCTTAGTTAAGTAAAATAGAACGTGAGACTATGAGAGACCTAATAGAAGAAGCCGACAGTGAAGAAGTAGAAGTCGCACTGTGAGAGACCTAGCATCGCATATCAATTAAAACGTGACGTGAGTTGTTGTCGATACTCGACAACCAGCAAAGAAGTAGAAAACGAACTTTTTAAGATTCTAATGCTACTTTTTTAACTACTTTATGTTATAAATGAAGTATTTTGATAGGGAAGTATTTTTAAGGTAGAAATTGATATGTAGAATTAATTTATAAATATTTTTTGAATACCGGGTGCATCACGTGCGTGATGCAAGCGCATCAGCATCACGCATCACGCATCGGCTTCCGGGACCCTTAACGCATCGGACCGCATCGCGCTTTTTAAAACCAAGATACGTATCTTGTTGTAAACTTTCTCTCAATATCAATGAAATCGATGATTCCTCCATTAATGATTCTTTGAATCTTAGATCATATTACTTGAATCTGGGTTTAAGAATAATCACACATGCTTCTGAATATTTGTTAACCATCTTCGTCTACAGGTGTGGAAAGGTCAGGGACCAAGAAAATGGAAGCACGGACAGAGCGATGGATTTTTTGTGCAGTTTGAATCACCTCTCCTCAGAAAAGAATGGTTCATTCCCAATTCTTCAGAGAAGGGGCAAATATTATGCAGGTTTGTGCCTGTAAACAACTTGGTCATGAGTAATACATTTTCATGTATCTTCTGTGACAGATTTAAAAATCTTTTACCATTGCAATACTGATATATTACTTACCTGAGCAGCCAAAAAATTTGGATTAACATGAGGGAAAATAGAGTATGGTTCGATATGAACTTTGTTTACACCAAGAGCATCCAAAGCCTCTATGTTTGAGGATTTAGGTTTTATACAAACGCCCGAAAAACTAAAGAAGGCTAGTTGTAACAAAAGTGAGTACTTGCAGTATTACAAGTGTTTTTAAGTTGACAAGAAGACTCATTAACAAGACAAAAGCACAACACCATTCTAACCCTAATATATCATATTGAGAGAGTCCTTTTCACTAAACTTCAAGACATACCAAAAATGTCTTCAAAGGACTGAACCTGTTGTATTACACAACAGCTCTAGTGTAAACGTTGCATTAACATGGCATGTACCTTACTCTCTACCATAGAAAAAATATACCTAATATCCAAACAAACTAAGTAGCGAGAGCCAAATAAATCCAGCTTCACTTTAACCTATCATATGCATATTAACATTACGAATACACCTAGTTAACAATACCACTGTTCCAATGAACAGTAGCAAATTAGGCTAACTGCAAAATCCCCATGCATAATTCATCTGGTGCAACCTATACGAATTTGATTATGCAAGACTTCATTCTCATAATTAATACATCATAGACCTACTCCATCAACCGCCAATAGAGGCCACACGGGGTATCAAGTACAAATAGATAGATAACTTACAGGATGCAAACGTCGTTCCTGAAAGACCCGAGTTTCAAGCATCACCTTGTGCCTCAAGAATCAACGGATGAGTTGTGGTTAGGGGTGAAATGCCACTCGAACCCAGAGTTTGTTGGTTCTCCCCGAAATGCATATTCATATTAAATAAAAATCAATAAAATAAGTAAATAAAAATGAAGTTAGCATGGGCTCATGAACGCACACCTTTGGCCAATTTGATTCGTTGGACTTAATTATTCCATTGCGACGGTTCATCTAGTCGAAGTAACTACAGGTGATCTATCCATGACCAGGATGAAGCTTGGGTGAAACTAAGTGATCCCCCCTCCGAGAACCGTATATGAGATTTTCATCTCGTACAGCAGGAGAGAAATGCTATCCTCACTCGGACTTGTCATTCACATCACCTCATCCTTATGATATAAGCATTTTGTCTCTAGACATGTACCACGCTCAACTCATTTCAATTACTTCTTTGTTCATACCAACATATTGATGCGTAGGTGGATGAGTAAAAAGAGGGATAAGACTAGGGTGAGATTAACAATCTGATTAGATCAAGGATAAAGTACTTAAACGACACCAAGATTAACCAAATTGGTGAAGGTTGATGTTACTAGTGATAAAGCAACAACACCACACTAGCAACAATCAAGGATCGACTCCTTTTGTGTATGAACACTCAAAACAGCTTGACAAGCTATTGTGAACTCAATATACAAAAAAAATATGCCTTCCAGCTACAACTTGGAAGCCCATATATAGGGCTGGAAGATAAACATAACTCTTGAAAATTGAGAAGACTAAAGAAAGACCAAAAGTTGGAAAGCAATTAAAGGACTATTAATGAAGCGTTAATGAGAAAGAATCTTAATCTCCTTTTGGGCTGCCAGAAAATTACACTCCTCCCTTTAATTGTTTCGAACCCAAAATAAGAGTCTGAATCAAACCCAAGGTGAGCTGGAGATATAAAATGGGCTGCTCTTGTACTGGCTGAAAATAAGATGGATGCCTCTGCATCAACCTCCTCTGGCTGGGAAAGATTTACCCTTAAATCTTCCAATGGACCATCTTCAAGATAAGGAGAAAGATCTCCAACATTGAAAGTTGTTGATATGTTTGTATTCCCAGGTAATTCTAATTTGTAGGCATTATCTCCAATTGTTGCCAACACCTTATATGGTCCATCTCCTCTTGCCATTAGCTTGTTCTTCCTTTTTAAAGGAAATCTTTCCTTCCTTAAGTGCAACTACATGAGATCTTCAAGTTGAAAGAGAGCCTTCTTGCGATGTTTGTTAGCCTTTTTCTAGTACAAGTCGTTGACATGTTAAATCTTTGCTTTGACATGTTCAGTCTTTGCTTTGACATGTTCAATCTTTGCTTTGACTTGTTCATGAATCTTTTGCATATCTTTGGCTCGAGTTGATGCCTCAAAGTGAACTTCACTACCCTTAGGCAGTTGTATCAGATCAATAGGGGTGAGAGGATTCACTCCATAGTTCACTTCAAATGGTGTGCATCCAATAGCATAAGTTGGAGATCGGTTATAAGCAAACTCAACAAACAAAAGTATAACATCCCAATCTTTCAAGGACTTGCTCACCATACTTCTTAGCAAGGTTGTGAGTGTTTGGTTAGTTACCTCCGTCTATCCATCCCTTTGCGGATGATAGGCATTGCTGAACAATAACTTGGTGCCTAATAACTTCCACAATGATTTCCAAAAGTAACTCAAGAACTTGACATCTTTGTCAGAAACTATGGTCATAGGGACTCCATGGAGACGCACAAATTCTTTAAAAAATAAATCAGCAACATGAATGACATCATCTGTTTTGTGACACGGAACAAAGTGTGCCATTTTGGAGAAACGATCCACCACAACCATTATAGCATTTTTCCCACGTTGAGTACGAGGCAAAGCCACAATGAAATCCATAGAAATATCTTCCCATGGTTGAGAAGGAAACGGTAATGGAGTATACAAGCCTTGATGAAACTGGCTTTTAGCTTGATGACATGTTACACACCTAGCAATAAGAGCAGTAACATCACCTTCCATGTGTGGCCAGTAGAAATGTTCTTGTAATGCACCAAGGGTGTTGTTGATGCCAAAATGACCAGCCAATCCTTCTCCATGAGCCTCTCTAATTAGTAGCTCTCTTATGGAGCTCTTAGGAATGCAAAGTTTGTTGTTCTTGAAAAGAAACCCGTCTTGTATGAAATAAGAACCACAAGCTCGTTCTTTCCATTCTTGAATAACTTTTGAAAAATCCGGATCATTTAGGTACAATTCTTTAATGAAATTAAAGCCTAGCACTCTTGCCCCAAGAACAGTAAGCATGCATATCTCCTTGAAAGGGCATCTGCAACAATGTTAGAACACCCTGTTTTATACTTT